AACCGGCTGCATATGTATCGATGTATCGAAACACGATGCGTAGCAGCACGGTTGTATGTATTGAGGGATAAAAGCGATTGTATCGATATTTGCGGTGGTTTCTGAACTTATGACTAGTGTACACGTATGTGTAAGTAAGCATGAGATGGTACGTAGCCTGCAGGCGTGGATCTTGGGGGGGGGGGAAGGTGACCATATATATATATATACACATATACACACGAAGGACCACACACATGTGTATATATATATGTATATATAGAGAGATGTATGTATGTATGTATGTATGTATGTATGTACGTACGTACGTATGTATGCATGTATGTATGTATTACACACACAAATAATCATGCGGCTTATTGACTTGGGGGCAGGGTAGTAGCATCTCGGTTACGGATTTTGGGTGTAGGGTGTAAGTAGAAATTAAGATCCACGGAGTTAATTCGGTTCCGACAGTACTTAAGTTATGTGGGTCTACGTAGTTTTATAACCCTAAACCCAGAGCACTATAAGCCCTAAACCACTAAAAGTTATTTTGTTAAAGTAGTAGCAACATGCGGGGGCAACCATCTAAAGGCTTGGACTCCGTAGGCCGAAATCAACTGCTGAACAAGTCAGCAACCTTCAGTAGTAATGTGGGAAAAGTGCATGTTTTGCTCTCGGTGAGAGGCAATAACTGCTCTGGCGACTCGTTGCAATAAGAAGCAATTTTGGGTCTGCCACCATGTAACGGGCATCTCTTTCTGCCTTCAGACACCCAGACACATGTATGAGGGCTCCCTGGAAAACCGTCTGCGATGCGCTTGAGGACAAGCCCATGGCTTTGAATCTGAAGCCCTAAACTGCATGCTGTCTGGGAGTTGTATGTACCTAAAACATGCTACCACAGAGCCTCCTAAAGCCCCATAGTACATAGCAAGGATCGCCTCGAAGAGGAAGCTGCTGCCACCGCGCTCATCCGACTCGCGTCGGAGGATCTGAAACCTCAACTTTATGTGATGCGTTTAAGAACTGTTGGATATGGGGTTCAAGCTTTCGGCTTAGGATCTCAGGGTGCGTGGCCCCCGCATCGCGAACCAAGGCTTGAAGGTTACGGTTTAGGGTTTAGGGTTTTTTATTAGGGTTTAGGGTTTAGGGTTCTGGAGTTCTGTGGGCCGTGTTGCTTTTTTCGCGTCTGCGGAGAGCTTCTGCAGATGCAGGACTCTAAAATGGGGAATAAGAAAAAATAGAAACCTGATTACAAGAACTGCCATGTAAGCCACCCGAGTTTGCTGAAATCCCAATACAGGGTGAAGGTCTAGGGGCGCTCTAGACAGGTTTTTGGACATTTCGAGGCAGCTTGATGTCTAGACTCTCATGATCACGGCATGCAAGGCTTCCACATTAGGATCGTCTTTGGAGTGTCCGGAACTAGAACTGTGACCGCACGAGGACGGATACTGCGCTGGAGTGTTTGTTTGAGCAAGGTTGTCTCCCAAAGGGTCGGAGCCGTGTCACCCTCGAAGAGCTCCGCAGTCCCATCGGATGTCTCCATGCCAAACCCTATAAATTTCCCATCCATGTAGCCCTGTCCTCGGGTCTCTCACGTTTACATCTCCGAACACCAGCTTCACCGAATCCCCCCGTGTATGCACTATAGGTGATCTTCAACTCCGAATCTTGAACTCTTAGGGCTTAGCGCCGTCTAGGGTTCAACCATAGTATAACCCCAAGAGACAACTAGCTTTTGTCATAACATGTCGAATGTCGAAGGCCACCAGCAGGGATATCTTGGGCTTCGGGGCGTGGGGCCGCAGTAACCGCAAAAATCCGGAAGCCATCCCGCGCTTCGGGGGCGGCTGAGGGGCCTCAGGGTGTTAACCTTAGAAGCCCTAAATCGTAAGCTTCTACACCCTGCCTGGTGTTCTGCGTGTGTTTCTTGGTTCATCCCAGGCTGAAACGAGAACCCGGTTCAGCCCTCGGGCTGCTCATGTTGTGTTCAACACACAATCAGCCCCTCGCATGATCGAATCAGCCTTTCAGTTGATGACAGAAACCGAAGTATGCATTGAAAACCTGCCGTCGATGGCACATACTGCCATGAAGCTTCATCTCGACTTACAGATCCCGAATACCCTCCAACCCCAACTTCGAAACTTCAAGGAGAGTTGTTATGAGAAAAAACTTGCCGAAGCAGCTGCCACGTGCTGCGCCTACCGGGTAACTTGGGGCTGGTGGTCGACTCTGGGCTGAACTTTTCCACTGGCGTGTCAAATCCTTGTAGTCAAAGTGACACTTTGTCAAACACCGCCGTGTGGATCTTGGGTGTAGGCTATTCTTGGATAAGATCCGGGGCCTATACAGCCTTGGCTAATTTACTGGTCCAGGTGAACCCGGTTCACAGGGTTTAATATAGGGGACTTAATAATCAGAATAGGGTTTGGGAGTCCTTTATAGTAGTAACCCCCTCAAAATCATACAGGTACTCATTGAGGCCCCTATACCACAGGGTTTTCAGTCTTCCGAGGTTGAGACGGCGGGGTTACTGGCAATCCCTGCATCCTTTTTATAAGTGCGCCTTGCTACTATCCGAAGTTAAAGAGCTACCCGTCTGTTCTGCTGATTTAACCCGGTGGCGTACAGGCCGGGATCTGCTTGGGTATAACCTGCACAACAATGACATGTATCGGCATCGTCATAGACCAAAGTGCCGGTGTAATTATAACCGTAAACCGTAAAATTATACAAGCCTATTCTTTCCTCCCAGGGCCCCTGCTTGGCACCCTCCGGCAGGTACCGCTGCCAGGCATCCTCAGGACTTGCACTATGGCCAGTAACTACGCGCTTCCGGCATGAGATACTCTTCAGTCTGGTGATCCTTTACTTGATAAACAATAGGATAGCCACACCTACACCTTGTAGAAACCTGTATACTTGGCGCTCTTCTAATACCATGCTGCTGCCGCATGGCCCTGCGCATTATTCGTGATTGTCTGCACTGCACTTGTAAAGCCTCGACCCCAAGTCCTGCATCCTAAATCCGAGGCCCTAAACCCTCAGCCGCAAACTTTAGGCCCGATCAGCCTTGAACCCTGAACCGCAAAATCCTTGAACCTCCACAGATTGATCGTGAGAGCTTCGACATTTAGACTTTCTACTCTGTAGACTTAGGGCTCCACGGCCTCCTGAAATCAAACATGAGTTCGAAGATCTAGAGGCCACAGGGGGCGACGTGTAATGTAGGGGCCTTGGCAGTCGGATCAGGGGTTTTGCGGTATATTACTTAGGGGCTGAGTACCCTGGCTCAAAAAGGTTAACCCTTTCGGTTATAGTAGGATCATATAAGCCCCAAAAAGTTCAAGGTTATCTACTCAGCTACCAAGACTATTAGATCGCAAACATCGCAACGCAAAGAATCCTACAGAAAAAGGTAGGAAGTTAGATTAAGGAGTGGCTTCGAGCTTCCTTGTGCGCTTGCAAGGATCACCAAGCCCAAAAGCGCCCGTATTGCGGTCTTCTGGCTTCTCTCCCTCTCTGCGACTTTTACAATCAGCTCTGAGCCGGGCTGTGGGCTTGGACTTGCTGCGACGGCTTAGGGTTTAGGGTTCCAAGTGGGTAGGTAAAACGTTGGAGGCCTGCCGGCCCTTGAACTCATCAGCACGACAGAACCATACTAAGAAGCCATGTGTTCTCAAAGGCATCTTCTAGAAGCCTAAATAATTACCAACATTGTTCCGTAGGGCTTTTTGATTCTTAGGGTTTAGGGTTTAGGTTTTGGGTTTACGGCTAGTCGTTGGGCTGTACCCAAGTAAATCTACGCACGATCGCTGCATGTGTTCGTGGTTCTGCTTGCAGCATTCCCAACTCAGTGCAGGACAACTGAATGTTCCCCTGCTTCTCACCCAGGGCCTACTACATGAGAAAATTTCTGCTCTGTCCAATGTCAGCAAACGAGATCTATAATGAACCTACTTGTATCTTTAGGGACCATTGGGGATTTCTATCGGCAATTAATCAGACAGATTTGTGCAACCCGCCGCACCTGCTGGCTGCAGAGCTGCCTTCGAAGACGTGCCGAGCGCACGCAGCTCCTCGAGGCTACACCCCAGCGAGGCTTCATAACTATCGAATTGAAACAAGGTGTTGGTGTACTGGTAGCTGTGACTTTTCGGTGATCGTGACGGTGCTGGTCGTGCTGGTGGTGGTGCCGGTGGTGGTAGTGGTGGCTGCTGGTGGTAATTCTGGTGCTGGCGCTGGCGGTGGCAGTGATAGGAGTCGGAGTCGGAGACTAGGAGAGTAGGAGAGTAGGAGCGTAGTAGTAGTAGTAGTAGTAGTAGCAGTAGTAGTAGTAGTAGTAGTAGTAGTAGTAGTAGCTAGTAGTAGTAGCTAGTAGTAGTAGTAGTAGTAGTAGTAGTAGCAGCAGCAGTAACAGTAGCAGTAGCAGTAGCAGTAGCAGAAGCAGTAGTAGTAGTAGTAGTAGTAGTAGTAGTAGTAGTAGTTGTTGTTGTAGTGGTAAGAGTAGCAGTAGCAGTAGTAGC